TCTCCACTGCTCCCTATCCATGGTTTGTGCTCTCCAATCTCTGATATCCAAGTGTTTGATATCATCCTGAATTTTATCTTCCCACTTCTTTCTAATACCGATGTTACGAGGACGTTTCTCACCATGGTACTAGATACCATCCATGTGTTAGTGTTGTAACTATCGGATAGATCGGAATATCATGTTCTGTTATTAGATCCAAGGGGGAAATAGCGGACTTCTGGACTGCATTGGACTCCATGGACTCTTGAAGTCTAGAAGTTCATAGAAGTGTTGCTATTGTATGAAAATCAAAGGAATTATTGTAACTTGCAGAGATATAGATCTTCAAACCAGGGAAGTCTACGCGTGGTTACAAAACCTGGTCGCTAACGTGCTGAAGACTTCAGCACTCCGTCCAATGGTCCGGAGTAGCGAAGTGTGTTGTTTTCTTTTAGAATAAAATAGTGATATTTCTTTCAATATTCTTCCCAAAAATAGAACAATCGTGTTCCCAAAACAGAAAAACGCTGTTATTGTATTGCGGGATTTCCCTGAAAACAGGGTAATTGTGTTCTGTTCTGTGTTCTTTTCTCACGGACAGAACCTTTTTGTTCTGCTTGTGGGAGCAGAGATTTCTAGGACAGTTCAGTTCAATAAAGTTTCCTTAAGCCCATGGCACTCCAAACCACTCGGAATCACTCCGGGTACTCCGAGCAGTTCGACCTGTTGATACTTCTTGGGACTCCAATAGACTCCGGGAGTCCAAGAATCCGCTATTTCCCCCTTGATTAGATCTCAAATCGATTATTGATAAATGCCAACACGTTCAAGTTGTTTGTTTAGAGGAATGAACGAATATAAACTGAATATTGGAGATTATGAAGGGATGGCGGGTGTAGGTGGAACTTATCCGAGTAAGACAGTTTTATTTTGATTATGTCATCTTCAACTCGCTTAGTTACTTTTTTCTGAGAAACTTTTCTGTGCATAGTTGTGTAATTCATCGTGTATGTATTATTCTAGTTGGTTGAAGTGTTCACCCAAGTCAAAGACTTGTTAAAAATCAATGGTAATCGGAGTATCTGGTCGTATCCGTCACGAGAGAAAACATTGGAAATTTCATCTGAATCAGTTAACTTAACAATTAAAAATGGTCAATTAGAATTTGATCCGGTAAATAATGAATCTAAAAATTCGACAGAAAGGTTTAAGCAATTATTGACGCTTATAAAAGATGGTGAAGATGATATTTCCATTAGAGAGTTTGCATTGGGACTAAATGAAGGTAGATTAGTACAGGATTTGACTTTTTTTATAACTGCTTGATCTGTTTCTAGGCATGGGCAAACACGCCATTGTCCAAGATATATTTGCATTTGAACGACAAGATGGTATATTTATGCAAAGCATATCTAGATCAGCGTTTCCGAAATGGGGTTTCATGGAACTCTGGGGTTCCGTGAAGTGAAACCAAGGGTTCCGCCAGAAAAAAATAAGAAGATAAAAATTAATTTCACCACGTAAAAAAAATTACGTAGTCTTAAATAATTTTTGTCAAATATTATGTCAAAATACTACTGGGATTCCGCAAAGTTTTAAATTTTATGAAAGGGTTCCATGGCTAAAATAAATTGGGAAACGCTGATCTAGATTATGATTTAATAAGGATATTTTTTAATTTTAGGCATACACATCTCTCATGGTAAGAAACAATGTTTATAAAGCAAGCACAATTAAACAAAACAGACTCGATTTCATATTAATGTATTTGTTGACGTTAAAACAATAACTATTGATGGTACAATTATTTATGACAATGGAAGATACATCATGGAAAATTTGTACGAAAAAAATAGACCATTTTCAATTTTTGGTTAACATTTTCAGTTTGATATCCGAATAGGTTTTATTTTGTTTTTCTAACAAATACAAATGCGATATTTCAATGCAAACGCTTTCAGTTAATGTAATGAGTTTAGAAGGTACTCCTCTCCTTTTTAGAAATTACATTCTCCTTCAAAATTGAAGATTCGGTTATTCAAACACCTGATCCGAATTTTCAGGATCTATATTACTCTGTATCCTGCAAATGGATTTTATAAACATTATTTTTAATAAACGTTTCCTGACAGATGATTCTTGATACTAACTACTTTTCTCACTCTACGCTTAATATACCTCAAGTTTAAATGTGTGGATTTGTCGAGAAGACAAAGCAACTATGTGTCCTTCCACCTTATTACGTTACTTGTTGTGCAAACCTAAAAAATACACCGAACTGACTATTAATGTTCAGAGAAAATTCACACACTTGAATAGAGTACAAAATCTAAAATCAGGTAATTCACAGTATTTTAATTTTACTGAGGTCATTGAACTGCACAATAGAGCTCATTCATATATTATTGAATACGCCTTACGATTCGTACAGACGTATTGTGAGAAGAAGAACATTCTATGAAAGTTTCAATCAATTTGAAGCTTCGAAAACATTCGGAAACTCATTATACGGAGCATACGTCTTCGGAAAGTACTTAGCGTAGAAAGAAAAGGTTGTTTTTCTGACGCTAAAGTGTCCAGAAAAACTTTTTTCATGAATTGATAGCTAAAAGATTCTCGATTCCAAATATATGCTTTTGCAAATTTCAAAACGGTAAAATCTAAGGAAATATGGTCCATAGATATCGCAAAATTACGGGCTATTTTTTTAGTCATACATTTTTTCCATAAATTCACCGCCTATGGCAAAACATTTACGCCGTTAAATGGCTCGTGGTCCAAAGTATAAGTAGCACTATTTGAATCGTTAAAAAAAAAGAACACTTTCATTTGTTTTTTCACCTAATGTCCACATGGTTGCCCACTGTGCAGTGTGAAAAGAAAGACAGAACTGAAGAGCCAACTACCCTTCGGGAAGATTGAAAAGTTGACTGAGTGGAACGGTAAACAGACGAAGTTAGAACAGTTTGACTTCCTTTCAGACAGATAATGTTTAACAGGAAGAGGACATTCATATCGTGCTTGCTATGATAAAAACTATACCAGAATGTATGATATGATAATGGTAGTTCTGGTATAGCTTTCATCATATCCAGCACTAAAGTATATATTCACTATGAACGATGTCACGTGACGATTAATTATCTCATAGGAAAAAACGATAGTGTTTTCTAAAAAATATATTCAGTTTCTAGGACTGATTATACGATAACTAAAGCAGATATCGCAAAAGTAGCTTCGAATGTGTGATCTACGGCTCTTCTACTTTCAAATGATCTTCTCATGAAATCTGTACGATCAGAGATGAGAGCGAGTAGCTGACTCGAACGCGAAAAATTTTTGAACTAATTAAAGCCTACCTTTATAAAATAACTTCGAATGTGCCATCTGCAACACTTATAGATTCGAATTTTCTTTTTCCCAAATATGTGCGATTAGGTATAACGGAGAACGAGTGACTGACTCGAAAGAGAAAACTCATAACAGTTTGACTATTTTTCAAGAAGAATGTTCATTCAGCTGATTCATTATCGTGTCATATATTCTACTATAGCTTTCATCAGCATATTAAGCACTGTAGTATATATTCACTATGAACGATATTACGTGACAATTAATTATCTCATTGGAAAACTATACCCTAGTCGAACATCTTGGAACCAAGATCTTGACATCTTAGATTTTTTCGAAAAGATCTTGGCAAGATCTTTGGTACAGGATGTCAAGATATTTTTGTTCCTAAGATCTTGCCCATGATCTTGCGTACAAAATTCTAAAAATTATCTTGTATCCAAGATCTTGACTGTAAAATGACTTGTACCCAAGATCATGGCTCAAGATCTTTGATACAGAAATATTTTGACATCTTGTACCAAAGATCTTTGAGTAACCATTGGTTATCATTCATCGTCTTATTTTGGCGATGTCATCCTATATATGAACATTCTATTTTGTGTCTAATGTTACTATGTTTTAGTCGACAGCAGAGTCAAAATTCCATCAGCGAGGCATTAGGGATCGTTCGTCCTAGCGGATGAAATGTTCACCACTGAGCGGTAAATTTCTTTTGTTCCCAACACTTGTTGAAAAAATGCAAAGAAAAAAAGTTAGTTTTGAAATATGACGACTTTTCAAATGTTCAAGATCCTGGGTACAAGATATCAAGAGATATCTGTACCCAAGGTCTTGCGTAAGATCTTGGGTACAAAAACGTCCTGAGATCTTGCACCCATTTTTTCAAGATCTAGTGCCAAATTTTAACGTAAGATGTTGGGCAAGATCTTGGTTTCAAGATGTTGGACTAGGGTAGAGTTCTAAACAAAATTTGCTCATTTTGTGGGACTAATTGTACGATAATTAAAGCAAATATCTGAAACTAACTCCAGATTTTTTTATACCCTAAATAAGCACTTTTTTCTTCGTACTAACTTTATTTATTCCATACGTTTCGATTGATAGTTCAATCTTCCTCAGTAAATACAAACATTAATTAAATTAATTAAAATAATATAAAGAAAACAATTTGAACAAAAATCTTTAACATCGGGAGATTTTTCCCTTTTTTTTATTTTTATAATATATACAATCGATAATAAAAAACTCAAAAATAACTTCGTTGTACATAGTATAGATACAGAACAGCGATTTAGTTTTGCAGTTTAGTGCAAAACTAAGTTCATCTGTTCGAATCTGTATTCGTACAAAAACATTGATTTTGTGTTTTTCGATAGTTTTAGTTTAGAATACTATAATGAAATATATTCCCTTTGTATTCTGATAGACTAAAGCTTATATCAACTTCAGATGTGTCATCTACGACCGCTGAACTTTCAGATGATCTTTTCCCCAAATGTATATGATCAGAGATAACCGAGAGCTAGTGGCTGACTCACACCAGAAAACACAGTGTAGAAAGCAAGAAGAAGTTTACTAGGCAACACCGGAATGAAAAGCGGTGAAGATAAGTCATCACCAAATCGCTGCCGTCAACGTCAAAACACGTAGAATCTGGCGACTTGGTGATAGGATTTAATGATGACTTATCTTCACCGTGAAAAGCAATGAAAGCGTCTCCTTTATACAGCCGATCAGGCCTTTATGAGTGTTATAATGATTTTAACTTTTATTGAAAAGTAGCAGTTAGCGATACATAAACTGAAATGCAGTTACACTTAACTAGAGGTTACAAGTAGTTTTGTATTCAGTTCTGTTTTTCTCCAATGAATCCATCGATACAGTGCACTTATCCTCACAGGGAAGCTACACCAATCACAATTTTGCTATTTTATAGTATTATTGTAGCTTATTGTGACAGTACTATTATTATTTTTATTTACCCATTCATCATCTGATTCTATTTTATATGTTGGTTGTCCTTAACCGTCCAAAATAGCGGCACAGTTGAGATTTTTTGCAGGCTTTGCGCGTACATTTGATTTTTTTCTGATATATATGAAAACGATTAATTTAATTTAATTTGACTTGTCATATTTTAAATGTCTATTATCATAAAAAGGAAACGACTTAAAAGAAATTTTTTTCGGTCAAAATTGACACAGCTTTTTTTATCTGTTTTTTATATTATACATCATTCGACGCAGTTTATTAATACTTCATATTTTTGAGCAATTTTTACTGTTATATTTTTTCATGACAAAGTTTTTTCAAGGTTCTTAGTAGGAAGAGACAAAAGCTTTATTTTCAGGAAAAAGATAGTCCAAAGATAGGTCTTTAAATTAATCCACGAACAGAAATCGAAAAATCAATACATTTGCTTTTTCACGAGCTAGCGTTTCCTACTGTAAGTACGTACTGTAAGTTGGTCGTCAAGAAAATGGCAGATAAGTAGGAGAGAGTATTAAGTTTAGGATAAGATATTTTATAGCCCCTAGTGAATGTAATTGACGATAGGTATCTGAGTACTTGCATTTTTCTTAGGTATCTATGCGGGTACTCTGCTACATGAATGCCTTAGGTGCTTGAATTTTTTCAAGTAAATATTACTTGAGAGGTATCCCATTAATTGCGCTGGACACAGCATAGGTACCAAGGTCTTTTTCGTTCACCGTTTATTTCGCGTTCAGACATATATAAAAGAAAAACATACTTTTACAAGAATGACGTACGGTCACACGATTACCGAAAATGGCTGGCTGTTTAGGTACCCGCTAAGTAATATTTCAGTTGCAAGCATCTATGACATTCTTGTAGCAGAGTGCCTAACTCAGGTACCTATGTTCAAGTCCATTCACCAGAGGTTAGCTATAGTAAACTATAAAATCGTAATTTAGAGCCTAAATTCGAGAAAAAAAGTTTTTTAACAGAGCGACCAATGAGAGTTAGAGTGCAGGGAGTCGAAAAATCTTAACGACGAAAAAACTTAAGACAAAGTTAGGGCTTAAGTCTCTGTTTGAATTAAGTTACTAACTTAAGTTTTACCGTAAATCTAAAAAACTTAAGTCATGAGAAATGTAGTCTTAAAGTTAAGACCGAAAACTTAAGTCATTGACACATTTTTCGAATCGCTTAGGCATTTAACGATGCGATTAGCCCAAAACAACTTTTTAAGGTTTAGAGAATAAATATTTCGTTATTCTGCGGTTTTTGTCTCAAATTTGTCACTGTTGTCAAGGACTTTCAAAAAGTAAACAAATCACCAACTTAAGTCTTTTTCTAATACGGTTTAAGTCCCCGAACTTAAGTCGATCTTAAACTTAGACTTACGTCATGGCTTAAGTTTTTTCGTGATACGACTTCTAGTAGTTTGCTATATGGCTTGACAAGTTTAAAGCTTTTCAATACGATGGCATGATATGTTATAGGCAGATAAAAAAAGATGTTTATTTCGTGGACTTTTTGCGAGAAAAATGACTGATATTGAAATGCAGCGCATCGTTTCCTGTTTTTTCCTTTCAGCATCCATGGGTCAAATTGTATCGCTAATTTATTGCTATATTTTCTGCTGTGACACATCTCTATACATTGCTACTTTAACGAATAATAGTGAATTGGTTGCAGTGAAGTTAGATATAAGAATATCTAATGTATAAGAAGTAGAAGAATATCGTGTAAGAATTCGGTTTTTTAATTGTTACTGGAAGTCGGAATTGTGTATTGTTTCCTTATGCATTCTGGTGCGATAATGTTTATTCTATAGCTTTGATCAGTTCCAGAGCTGGGCAAGTCAGGAGTTTTGCAAGTCTTAAGTCAAGTCAAGTCGAGGTCGGAAAATTTTTTCTCCTAAGTCAAGTCATACCCCAAAAAATTTTGGACCAAGTCAAGTCTGACTTGACTTGGACTTGCGGCATTTTTGACGTGACTTGCCCAGCTCTGATCAGTTCTAATAATTACTTAAGGTAATGAGGATCAGTTTTGAAACGTCATTGAATTAGAATTTCTGTCGTTTAACTTTTTAATTTATGTTAATAGAGCGTGAAAAGAAAATTTTTTCTTGTTTTCTTTGTATTTTTTGTCCATGATTTTGATATTTCGTCTCTTGTTATTTATTATCGGCTAGTTCATTTTTCTTTTTGTTCTTTTTCGGTTATATATTTAGTTTTTGTATTATATGATTAGTTTACTACATGCATGTATATCTAATAGTCTTTTATCAGAGAGAACAAAACTTGCTCTCCATTTTTGCTAGGTATTCATACATAAACGGATTGATAACAATACTTCTGCAAAAACTGATATCAGATTTCATTAGGCTGAATTTTGATGATGAGAAAAGGCAAATGTTTATTACTATGATTTAGGCAAGTCAAATACAAAATAGGATTAACATTTTACTGGAACTACTACTAAGTAACAATAACATAGCGTATCGATTGGATTGAAATTTCTCGTATTTGACAGTTTACTTCATGTTTAATCAAGCGTCAAAAACTATGACGTTTTTTCTTTTTATTCGTTGCCCTATGAGAATGAATTTTGAATGCGTATGCTCAAAAATTAGCTTCACATAAGAAGAAGAAACATTTGATCCTGTTGTATGTGCACTATTTCAAACAGCAAAGGATCATAACTCCGATTTATTTTACATTATATTCCGATTATTCTTTGATAAAATAGGAACAAAAATAAACACTCCACGAATGAAAAAAGAATTTTAAAACTGTGGAAAATAGATTTAGTCAAATAATACCAGTTTCAGTTAACAGTATATAGTTCTCAATAGCAGCTATTTTACATCCAGTTGATATTAAGACATAATAATTATATCCGATGAATATTCATTGATAAGAATGCGAGTGAACAACCATTACCTTTTATATAAATTCCAGAAATCATTCATATATCACCATACGTAAGGTTCAAAGAAAATAATAATAATAATATTAAAAATTCATAAATGTTGATTAAAAACTTTGAAGTAATATATTAATAATTAAAAGAATAAGTAGTACTATAAATAAAATATGATTAATTTGTAGAAAAAGATCCTTATTATTATATTCCAAATGTTTTGCAGTATATTTTAGATGAATATTCAATCAGACTATTATGTAATAAACTATCTATAAGTGACCCCCGTAACTTTCGTGTGTGATCTCTCTTATTGAAGGTCAAGTGTGAGCTTTTGACTAGAAAGTTTTGTTTTTCTTTTTCCAGTAGTTTTTGAATGTAGACATTATTTCAACAAAATAGAGAATTTATTGTTTATTGTTTATTTACATGAAATAATTAGCTTTTTCACTTAGGAGCAGTTACAAACTTTATTCTAAGAAAATAGGAGTATTACACCTTTGTATCTATAAGTCATTCGGTCTCTTGATTAAATACTAATTACCAAACTGTCAACTAACTGAAATCATTTTATTTTCTAGATTTAATGACTTCAACATCGAATAATATTGCAAACAGTTGCACACAGTGTAGTCAGTTAGAAAAAGGTAAGAAATGTTTTTTTAGATTTAGTCGTGTCTGCTTCTTCTCTTCTCCTACAATATCGCATCCTCCTTCTTCTCTGCAGCATTGTGCAATGGGCATAGCCCAATTTGGTCATTGTTTTCTAATAAAAAAGTTTAAGTTAAGGTAAGAAATAGCATTTTTGTATCGATTCAATAGATTTATTTAAGAACTACGTTCATAGCTTTTAATATTGCCACAAGATGCTTTTAGAAGAAACACTTATAGTTTAGATTTTCATTATGATTTAATAGAAATGAGATCTAAGCAAACTAACACATATGATGTTAGTAAATATTATGTGTTTTAATTTTAGATGACAATGAAAACAATAGTGGAGATATAAGTCATTCCCTAAATACTAATAACGACGGCGAACATCCTGCTACTTTTCGTATCTGTTGTATTGGTACGTTTTGATAAAGAATGTAATCACCCGAATGACTGATCGACTCTCTGTATTTCAGGTGCTGGTTACGTAGGTGGTCCAACTTGTGCCATCATAGCTTCAAAATGTCCACATATAACCGTAACTGTTGTTGATATATCATCTGAGAGAATAGCTGCTTGGAATTCAGATTCATTGCCATTGTTTGAGGTAGGATTATATATACTGCTCCCACAGGATCTCCCCCCTCCCCATTTATAGCGTTATAACACTATAAAACATGTTTTTTATAAACTTATGGTATTAGAACGCTATAGATTTATCTCATTGCAACGCAATAGACGCAGCCCATCGTGTTATAACGCGTTGCAAAGTTATTTTTTAGGAATTTATGGCGTTGTAATCGGATAAAAATTTCCATTGCATTACAACTCTATGAATTTATAGCATTATATTGCGTTTCAATTTTGTATCTCGTTACAACGTAATTAGATTTGTTTGCCGCCTTACAATACGTTAGATTTTGATGTATTATAACGTATTTGAGTTTTCTACTTCGATATAATGCGTTATAATGCCTTAGATGTTTTATCTAATTATAACATCATAAATTCGGAAAAATCTTTTATAGAGTTATAACTACTTATATAATGCATATCGTATTGTAACAAGTTAATATCTAATAGATTACAATGCATTATTCTTTTCTATCTCATTGCAATGAGATAAGAAAATGAAACTCGGTCTAACACAATAGGTATTAATGCGTTTACAACGAGTTAGACAATATCCAAAACGAAAATATCTGGTTTACTTGTAAAGGACACATTTTCATAAAATTCTGAGATTGCTGATGGATTCTTCTCGAAAAGTTGATCCGGGAAAAATTACTCCAGCTATATCAAACATATACATTACTAACCTGAGACTTAGGACATAAACTCCCACAGCACACCCATTACCACTGTGACGTATAGCGTTACACCCCTGAATAGTTAATGCATTGTAATGCCATAAATTTATAACGTTATAATGTGTTAGATATTATAGCGGTATAATACATTAACCTGTAATGTGCATTATAATGCGACAGGAATTTAGCAACGCCCTGCAACGGTATACAAAATGTTAACGCGTTAGTCGAATTTATAGCGTTGCAACATTATAAAATATGAGAACGTCATTGATAAAAATGCGTTATAACACTATAATTCCAATTTTTTGGCAGCTTTTCCACGTAACACGTTACGCTAATGGGTTACAATGCATTAAAGATATGTTTTTTCTAAAGTTATCGCGTTGTAACATAATAGAAAACCTAACACATTACAAGACATTACGATATGCCTAACGCATTATAATGCAATAAATAGGAAAAAAAGATCCTGTGGGCTATCATATTTCAAGCTATAATTTATTTGTTTTTAGCCTGGTCTCGAAACAATTGTCAAAAAACTTCGAAATCATAATCTGTTTTTTTCGACAGATACAAAAAAAGCCATTCGAGAAGCGGATTTAATATTTATTAGTGTGAATACTCCAACAAAATCCTATGGTTTTGGAAATGTATGATACTTCTACTATCTTGAACATCTCCACTTTTGGTGTCATGTTTCAAAATATTGTAGGGTCGTGCACCTGATTTAAGATATGTTGAAGAAGCAGCTCGTCATATTGCAGAAACAGCTACTAGCAATAAAATTGTTGTTGAAAAGTCGACTGTGCCGGTTAAAGCAGCTGAATCAATTAAAACTATTTTACAAACAAATAAACAACCTGGAGTATCCTATCAAGCAAGTTTTTCATGTTTTACTCGTCTAATATCTAAATGAACGCATGTTTTTTTCAGGTATTATCGAATCCAGAATTTCTAGCTGAAGGTTCAGCTATCGCAGATTTATTAGCACCTGATCGTGTATTGATTGGCGGTGACGATAGCGTTGAAGGTTTATTAGCCGTCCAAAAACTCAGTTGGATATATGAACATTGGGTACCGAAAGAGAAGATTCTAACAACAAACACATGGTCATCAGAATTATCAAAATTGGTACGATAGGTAAATTGTAGAGTTGGAGTAATATTTATATTTTTTCTATTTTTTAGGCAGCAAATGCATTCCTTGCCCAACGTATATCAAGCATAAATACAATATCAGCTGTGTGTGAAGCAACAGGTGCCAATGTGGCTGAAGTAGCGAAAGCTGTTGGACTTGACTCAAGAATAGGATCAAAATTTCTGAATGCGAGTATTGGTAAGAAGAAGTCGAAAAATGACTTGACATAAATAAACAAAATCTTTATTTTTATTTTAATTCAAGGTTTTGGTGGTAGTTGTTTTCAAAAAGATGTTTATAATCTGATTTACTTGGCTGAATCTCTCTATTTGGAACCAGTTGCTCAATATTGGTTACAAGTAATTAAAATTAATGATTGGCAACGTGAAAGATTCGCTCAGACAATTGTACAAAATTTATTTGGTAGTGTTAGCGGAAAAAAATTAGCTATTTATGGTTTTGCATTTAAAAATAATACGGCTGATACAAGGTAGATGAAAACGATAAATGATTTTGATTGAACCTAGATTTTTATTTCATTCACAGAGAATCTTCGAGTATTTACGTATGTCGATATTTATTAGCTGAAGGCGCCACATTATCAATTTATGATCCAAAAGTAACATCCGAACGAATATTTTTAGATTTATCAGAACAAACAGGGAAAACGGAAAAAGAATGTATGTTCGCATTTAGTTTCTCTCTCTCTTCGAGAAACTAATTTGATCATATTTTATTCTTCTTTTTTTTTTTATAGTAAGTCAAGTTGTAACAATAGCGAATGATTCATATGAGGCAGCCAAAGAAGCACATGCTATTGTTGTTTGTACAGAATGGGAAGAATTTAAGGTGAGTGAAAATTTTAATTATAGATGTTTTCCAAAATAAACAAAGTGTGTAAATACTTTTCATCGAATCTTTCAAGTAGAAAAAGTATTGACTTCTAACTGAAAATTAATTTTCTGCTCTAGAAATTAGATTATGAACTAATTTATAGTACAATGAAAAAGCCTTCATTTATCTTTGATGGTCGTATTGTATTAGATCATGATGCATTAATGGCAATTGGTTACAGTGTGTTTTGTATTGGTAAAAAACCGCCTAGAAATCAAGTACTGCCTAGAAGTCCACTTTAATACTAAGTCAGAAATGAGACACGCGCTGTTCATTATTTTTGTTGGTTTATATTGAGTACTATTTCTCTGTTTTTGTAATACTGTCTTGCTAGAACTATTTTTATGACATTGATTGTTTTTATACTGATAGTTTTTTGTTAAAACATAGTAACAATAGCTCTGTTAAAGATAAGACGTTCTTTTCTTTTTGCTTTTATAATAGTTTATTGTATTATTTTTGTGGATCAATGTTCAAAATGATATCGCTGCTTTAACCGGCACAGTCGACTTTTCAACAACAATTTTATTGCTAGTAGCTGTTTCTGCAATATGACGAGCTGCTTCTTC